GATCTTATACAGGCCCAAGAATATGATACTTTTCAATTCCTGAAAAAGTCACAGGGCCAAAGATCTATTATAATATAAATAGAATAGTTAGGAAGAATTTTATGGGAAATTCTTTTATAGGAAAGACTCACATAAAAGTTGAATATTTGGAATATATAGATATTTTGGGGTAAGGGATGAACAGGCTTGATAGATTTTTAAAATATCAGTCACTTGCTATGTATCAAGGGATGAATCCACAGGTGATTGTACAAAGCTATAAAAATTCTCTGTGCTACTTGCCTTCTTCAAATGTGACAGATAAATGAGAAACTATTGCATTCTGTGTGGGAATTATCGCTGTTTTACTGTAACCAAATTCCTTGAAGGATGGCTGTGGTTTAAGGACGTTATTATAGCTATGGTAGCATAGGATTGACAGATATCAAATGTTATTTTAATTCAAGATTTATTAAGTAACTATGAATGTTAATTTCGAGACCAGTGGTTCTCATCCTGTGGGTCACAGAGGTCTCTTAAGACCATCAGAAAACATGGGTATTTATATTACAATTCATAACAGTAGCAAATTTATAGTTATAAAGTACAAACAAAAAATTGTGGGTGGAGTTCACTACAATGTGAGGAACTGCATTAGCAAGGTTGAGAACCACTGTTTTAGAGCAATTACAACAGAGGCCATTATAACGCAAATGAAGACCACATTTATAAATTAGGGATATTTACAAATGCTATGCCATTCCTTTAGCTATATATGTCTGTTTACATATATGCCTATTTAAATATTTATGTTTTCATATTGCTAAATCACAGAAATTGTAATAAGCATCCCTCAATCATAAATACATTTTAATATATTTTACTACATAAAAAGGTAAATGTCACATACATCAAAATGTGTATAACACTTTTACCAAAAGTAATCAGAGATGTTTCATAATGCAAAGAGATTCAGTAGTTGAGAAGAATAGTACTTCAAAATATGTCAGCAAATAAATGGAAACTAAAAACAGGAAACAAAACCTGGTAGAATATGAAGAGAAACACACAAATACATAGTTTAAGAGTTCAATCACTTCTACTAACAATGAAAATGCAAATAGATAGAAAATAAGTATATAAAAACATTATTAACCATCTAGATCTACTTGGCTTTCCTCATATATTTCATGCCATAGAAGCAGAATATACATTATTTTCAATATATAGCAAATTTTGTGTAATGATATATATTTAAATAAATTTTACGCAAGTATTCTCTCAGGAAATTAAGTTAGAAATGTATAAAAATATATTTTAATGCAAATACTAATGGAACACCAATATATAGGTAAAAGTTAGAAATAGCTAAGCAAATTGGAAAAAAGATAAACTGACTGAATAAATTAACTTTAACAAAGTTTGTGTTAGATTATAAAAGATATTTGAAGAAAGTCTATAGCATTAGTAATTATATTAAAAGAAAGAACTAAAATCTATTAGTTAAGCTTTCAATCAAGGAACTTCCCAAAGGAAAAACCTATTGAACACCACAAAAAGAAATTAGGTAACAGTGAAATTTAGTGCAAAAATTAATAAATATTTAACAGCAAACATAGGGAAAAAGAAAAAATCTGAATATCTGAAAGACTGCTAAAATTGGCTAATCCACTAACAAGAAAAACTAATGCATAAAGCTGGTAGATATACAGTGCTGGTCTCAGAAAGTAAATACAGAACATTACCACAGACCCTACAGATTTAGGAAAAATTTTAAAAATTGATGAATAATTCTATTTCAATAAGTTGAATATTTAACAGTCATGATCTGAGTAGTCAACTAAAAGGAAAATAATATTTTAAGAATGTATTTCATTTTAAAAGAGAAGTAATATTTAAACAATTTAACACAATAATTAGATTTCATATAAATTCAGTATTGATAAGCTTTTCTGAAGTGCAGAACATTTTCTTAAACTTGTACTGACCACTGACTCATTTTATCAAATCACAGAGCGCTGATTTTTGGTCTTGCATGGTAGTACATGGTATGTTAGAATATCTGTGGGGAAAGATGGAACTTTTCAAGAAAGCTTTCCCTTGTAGACTAGCAAGTAAAACATACCTTTCTCCTTGAATGCCTAGTCATCTCTTTCCTTACAATCCTTATAGGCCATACAATTTTGATGTGGAAAAGAAGAATCAATATAAATAATGCATAAAATCTGAATCTGTCAATCTACTGGATTTTAAGGCAAAAAATACTTAATCCACTGATAGAAAATTTCTATTTGGTTGAAACTATTTGGAATAAAGTGAGAATTATAAAACTTACAAAATAGCTAATAGAAGTCTCCATTTTATAATATGAAAATTCAGCTAGCAAGAATTTAACTAATTAACCATCTGAGGTATTTTCCCAGGTAGGCTGATAGCCATCTGCTTGCCCTTGCACTAGATCAATGTGGGAAGGTAGCTGTAAATCACTGTTTGCCAAATGTTGTCACTCCATCAATGCACCACAAGAAGGGACGGAATGCGGACGGTGAAGGCACTTCTTTTTCATACACCTTTACATTGACAGCAGTGTTTACTTGGACTTCAAGTAAGACAAGTCTGAACAGTTTCAATAATGCTCTACACAGAAAGAGACAGACAGGAGACCCCCAGCTCCGTTCCTGAGATTTCTAGACAAAAGAGGGAGGAGGCAAGGTACTACAGAAGGTCATGCTGATGCAGAGACATAAGGTAGGTGAAACAACTGACCTTTTTCTAATACAACAAGAATTTTCTCAAATGCCTTCAAATTCCCTTTTCTAAGTTCAGAAACAGTGCCACAAATTTCAAACATAAAACAAGACCCAGATGTGTGTTTAAATAGATATGTAAGCATATTATTTCTGTAAGCCCTGTGATGTTGAGAATAGTTTGAGGCTGGAATCGCAATGTTAATAAAGGCTGCATCAGGAGAACTGTCAAACTTCAAGGCTAGCCTGGGCTACACAATGGGTTTCAAGCCCTCTGATACCACAGTGTTAGACACTGTCTCAAAAACTACAGAAAAATAATATTTTGGAGAAAACTTAACAACCTGTTCGGGAAATCTTAAATAATAATAAATTTATCCAGGTTAAAAGATAAACAGCAAAACACCTTAAGAATATGATCTTGAATTAATTATTGAAACTTCTACATTTTAACTACTTTTTCTCATGTGATATTTTTCACAACATATTAACATGCTACTCTGCTGTAGAAACGTTTAGATATTAACCTAAAAATTAAGAATTTAATTTAGATTATTCTTGTGGGTACACCTTTTAAAACAGTATTGGAGATACAGAGATGGCTGTGAGATGAGTGATACTCTATTCTAACTTCTGAGTACTAATAATTGTGGCAAGAAAAAAATGTCAGGAACTATTGATACGTAGATTATCTTATCAGTCCATAGTCTACATAAACCACACATTAGGACTATCTGTTCTCTATGGATCTGTTTTGATTTGGAAGGGTTTAAACACTGGACATTACAGTAATACAAAAGTCTATGATTACTTCCACTCCATATGGCAGAACACTCTCCTCCATAGAACTGACAATTACTTCTAAAAGTTGGAAATTCTGGAAAACATAAATTATAATTGCCCTTTCAAAGACAGAGTTACTGAATTATCCTCAGTGACTAATCACTTGTATGCATTTACATAGAAATACTGGTTAATACTGATGCAACAGAAGGGACTACACTGAGCTATCTGAATTATGGGACCACTGCACCTCCTCACACATTAGGAAAGATATAGGTAATTATAGTTTTCCTTGAGGTTCTGTTTTGTTCATTTTTTTTCTTATTCTAATTTAATAATCTCAATTTGGCAGGTAAAGTGAAAGCAACTGTAAAATGCTTTAGTAATTCAAGAGAAGTAGGAGCTTTTCAAAGCAGCCATTGTGTCTCCGACTGGCCCCTACCCCCATTTTCACATCTAAGCAGCTTGGCTATGGTTTTAAAGGAAGTGTCAGGCACAAAGGTTAAAGGTGCAATTAGAAGCTCACACTCCATAACCTCTACACATGGCTTCTTCAGTGCTTATGGTAACCTTGGGGAAAGCACTTAAAAACTTAAAAAGAAAGGGCTGATAAGTGTTAATCAATGTACTATTTTCAATTCCTGTGTGAATGCCTTAGAGTACCTTCATCATCAAAAGCAACTAGACACATGTGCAACGACAGAGTGCATGTAAAAATTAGAAATATATACACGCAAATGGTCTTGAAGGCAAGATGATGTTTCTCTCCCAGTTCATATTTCATCTGTCCGGTTAATAAAGGTTACATGACTGACCCAACCACCCAGCTAGAATTGATGTGAACAGTCTACATTAGTCTCATGGACACATTTGAAAACCACACCCTCAGAGGACCTTCTGACTTTTTATATAAATAAAAATTTGAAATTGTAACATTTCCAAGCTTGAGAAAGCAATATTTTATACAACAATAATCAATGCATTGTCCCCAATATTTTTAGGTCATTTTCACGTCATTAGAAAAACATACGAACCATGGGAAATACTTTTGGAGTAGAAAAAAACACCATTAGAACCACTCCAGTTTTGAAGCTAATACTTGGAACTTTCGGGAGTTATTATAGTGATTAAACTCATGTAGCCCTTTCTAATCCTGAAGTTTGTCGAGAAGAGGATGCTTTCCCACACAGCCAGATGACACAGAAGATACTACACTCTGAACTCTTTATTATCTCCTGGAATGGACACTCAACCCAGAAGAAACTTTAGGGGGAAAATTGCAGCAAACACCCTAAGCATTTTCACAAACATCCCCCCCAACACAAACATTAACCATTATAAGCAGCCATACCATTCAAACAGCAGCCTGTAAACTTTAAGAACTAAATAATGATTTATATTATCTTCAATATGTTAATTTTTCATCTGGATAAGAAAGACAAAAACAAGACTTCAAAAAACATTATTCGTAAGTTTTATCAAATTTCTTACCATCAAATGTTAAATAAACTCTTGCTTGGGGCTGGGAAGATCCTCTGACAGAAATGGAACAAATAAATACTCCAACCAATACACAAATTGCACGGAATGCCATTTCTTCTGACTTGCAAGTTAACATCCAAGGGAAAATACCTTTAAAAGAGATATGGGAGACTTGTGAAATATCATTTCACATTTTGCAAACCAGAAAGACAGCAATGTATACAGTTATGGCTTTGGAAAACACAGCTTAAGGTCTGCAGCCAGCAAGCAGTAGGAGGTGCTGTGACTTCGCTTCTCAAATGGAAACATTTGCACTTATCTGTGTATGGAATTCTTTGCAACAAGAAATTGTATTATCTTTGCATAAAAACAATGCTGACATCAGAGCAGAACAATGCAGGGAAAAACTTAATTGGAACCCCAAAGCTGAGCTTTTAAATACCCATTCCATGTTAATGACTGAGTATTGATAAATAAAAATCTCTCCCTAATAAAAACAGTAGCAGAAACATTCCACATCCTCATTCATGGGTACCCACTAATCCCATGTTCATTAACTCTTCTGGGTTAATTGTCTCTGAAATAATGTTTCCATACATAAATCTACCTGTGCCCCATCCCAGACTAGTAAATCACTTCTGTCAGGTATCTGCCAATGCATTCAGATGACCAGGCAGTGGTTAAATGATACAGATGAGGTAACCATGGACTCATGCCAAATTTAAACCAATGACCTATTGGTGAGCAATCCACCTGAGCCTCATATCCACCAATGCATATTTTACATAAATCAACCAGAGAGTGGGCTGTCAAAATTCCAAACAATAAATCAAAGGGACAATATTCTTCCTTGAAAATTGCAGCTATAAAATTAATATAAGCTATTAACTAATGTCTAAATACAAAGGGAGGCCAGGTACTCTTAGAACAAACCGATATGAGCCCCACTGGCCACATCATGCCAGTGATCTCAGGAGCATGAAAGAAATCTCATCGCTTTCCATCAAGTGTAATTGCACAGTGAAATGACCAGCAGCTTAATCTGGAAATGCATCTGTACAGATTTATGTTATAAGGCTTTTTAAATTGATTCTATTCGGTAAGGAAGCGCAGTTAAACATTGAAAGGGCTCTTTTCACTGACACACAAGGAAACGAACAATTAAGCCGAGCATGCAATCTCAAACAAACATCTGAGCTGGTCTCACTGGTAGCGCATATGCTGCAAGAGTTAGACATGAAACTCTATGCCTCTGCCACACAGACGGAGGAGCCCCTAGAGATGTTTGTGCTGGTAATTTTCAAAAGACACAGTTTCTTCCTGCTTCCACAACCTCTTCACCCTGCCATCCCTAAATTAACTCAGAAGAAAATTGATTTTTATGGGTGACTTTCCCTTAGCAGTTTACCCCTGGGACTTGTTGACTTAGTAGTTAAAGCCAGGGGGAGGAGAGAACTATTAATATGCCCAGCCTTAGTCTGTTGATTAACCAGGTTAGAAACATTTATCCATCTTTACATACTGCTATTGCCAATGTATAATCTGATATTCATTCCCTAGAGAAGACATACTCCATAAATTGCAAAGCATAATGCTATCTAGATGACTTGGTAGATCAGACAGCGCTGATCTATCTAACAGAACAACCTGGTTTCAATCCCACCCACTGACGGGCCCTGAATGCCAAATGTTTCTTTCCATCTCCCCACCTCAGCGATTTACAACTTCATTTCTTTAACTCGCACAGTTAAATGCGCTTGCCGGTGCTTGATCTTCTACTATCAGCAAATATGAGAATTTTTTCCTTAGAAGGCATTGGAATACCTAACTTAAACTCTTGGCAGGTGCCACGATCTCCAACCAGGCACCAGGCTCAGCTCCGGGAGCGCTTTCTTCACAAACCGCGTGGGCTGCTAAGAAAAATGCCCAGACTGGAGCACTCCGATGAAAAAAGTCAGTACACAGACCCAGAAAAGTTCGATTTCGCCAACCGAGCGAGGCTGAAAAATCTGAGACCGGCTTACCGAGGTGGGAAGAGATCCACGAGAAGTCAGCCACTTGCTCCAAGCTCCAAGTCCCAGTCCCCCAGGTCCTTTCCCCCAGAAGACCTCCAATGACTTAGAGAGTCCCGAGGGTGGGATTCTTTCTGGCTGGTGCTGAGTTTCTTTGTAAAAGAATCCCGGG